CCATTCTCCTGTCACTCACCACCTCCACTGGGTCCAGAGGGCATCCTAGAACAGAGCTGGCCTTGTCCTCGATTTTCCTCAAAGTTTTTTCAGAGCACACTCCACACCGTGCTGAGAAGTATCAAGTTTGCGATAATAGCTCCTTGTTTTATCCCTGTCAACCGTGGTTTCTTTGGAATTTTCCACAAAATCAAGTAAAGAAATAGGCACAAATTTTGTGTTTTAGGCTCTATTAAGAAAGAGCCTAAAGATAAAATTTCAATGAATGGCTCATAAGTTTGGGTAAAGTACCTTAAAAGAAATCCCCTCAAATAAATGAAAAAACAGACAATAAAACAAGGTTTGCTCTGACTTTGGCACAGTGCTGTAACAGCAGGTAATCAGGGCTCTGGAGCTTATTGCAGTGACGTCACTGTCGCCTTCCGGGTTCCCTCCTCCCCCTCGCTGAAATGCAGCTGCGCCATCCCTCCTTTGTCTGCTGAGGAAGAGTGCAACGACTTGCAGCGGAGAAGACGCCGGTGGGCCCTTTACTAACTACACCGTTTTCCTTGTTGTTGCATTTTTGTTTTAAAGGGAAGAAGCTTAACAAACTGAGCTGAGCTTCGTTCGCGCGTTATGAGCCAAGCGAATGCTAATAAGAGCAACATAGAGCCCGCCGTAGAGTCAAGCCCAGCAGAGAATAAGATCAAAATGGAAGACACTAAGTACCTCCCGGAGCTCCTGGCGGAAAAGGACAGCCTGGATTCATCGTTCACGCATGCAATGAAACTCATATCTGCAGGTAATGTCGCTATTTGCTTTAACGTAAAGGCTAACCCGGGCTAGTTAGCTCGAGTCGGGGCCTGTTTTTTTTTTTTGTCCCTTAGCCGAGTCGAGAGGCCTGAACAATGGCGCATTAAGCACGTGGTTGATAGCGATGTGGGTCAGGTCGTTGTCCAGTGTGTATTTGAAGCTGTGTAATTAAATCACTTGCTCTCAACGGTTCTGATGGGATTTTAATCGTGTTTAGTCATCAGCTAACACCGATACTTAACGACGAACAGCTGCGATTTCGAGGCGACTATTTGCTAACTACAACCCAAATGCATGCAAAGCTTTAGCTGCCGTTTCATCTTCGGATGACGCAGGGAATCGTAACCCACATCATCTGAAAAAAATAGCTTTAGTCTATTATTTGAAATGCATTTGTTCATGAATGGCAGATTTTTAATCGTGATTAATTTCTGCAGAGATTGAGAGGATCCAGAAAGGTGAAACCAAGAAAGAGCCTGAGAAGGAAACCTACCTGGACCTGTTTGCAACCAAGAATCTGAAGCTCAAGGAGCGTGTCCTCATTCCCACCAAGCAGTACCCTAGGGTATGTCTTTTCCCATTTACATAGAGCCCTAACCACCTAGACGATTCAATCAGCTGATATAACAGATTATTAATTGTACTGATTTCTCACTCTCTACTTAATTAGGGTTTTTTTCCCCTTTTGGGGAAGAGGGGTGTCTCTGAGGTGCTCACGTGAATTATGAATTTGTTGCAGGTCAACTTTGTGGGAAAGCTTTTGGGACCTCAGGGTAGCACGATCAAGAGGCTGCAAGAGGACACCGGAGCAAAGAT